CTGTCCCTTTTCATCAGCGAGACGAGGTGAGCAGAGTGGTAGCATCCCGCCTTGAGTAAACTCGCGATGCGTGCGAATCATGCTTTTGCTAGCCTTTGTCCTCCATAGGGTTTGGTTTTGTTGATATGTTTTGTTTTGGTTTTGTCTTGGGTCTGGTATTAGCATTTGGGGTTTCTTTGATATTTAGGCACGTTTCAGTGCCAAATTCCTGTTAGTGTTGGGACTTCTTCCTGGCTTCGATATTTGTTGTTGCGGTGGTCTTGTTTCTTTACGTTTGGTATGTGCTGATTTGTGTTGGTTCTAGTCTTGCCGCTAATCTTAATTTTGTTTGGTGATAGCGATTTGTCCACTCCGTAGTGGGTATATTTTGGCCGAGGTGATTGTTGTGTGGTAGTGGTTTTGTTCTGTACTTTGTTTGGATTTGTCTCTTCTTGGTTTTTTGGACCTATGATGGATCTTGCCTTGTTTGCCTGGACGGTTCTGGTCTTTTTGCTCTTGGTACGCTGCAGTCCCTTTTTTCCTTAATTCGGTCTAACTCCTTCTTCCTGGATTCGGTGAGTTAGCTGGTTGGTCTTCTTATTTCTTGCCTTGATGCTTTTTGTTGGTCTCGTTTGGTGACGTTGAGGGTCTCGGCCTTCGTCGTTCGTTGGTTTTGTCTCGGCGATGATCAGCATCGTAGTCTGTATAGCCTGCGTTGTGCATATCGATCGATGTACTTTATCTCCCAGGGAAGACTCGATCCCCGTCCACCGAGGTAGATTTCGGGAAGGCGGCCTTGTTGATGGCGTTGATGGCTATTTCAGATGATGACTACTGAACCTAAGATCCACATAACGACTCCAACGCGCGGTTCTGCACTTTTCTGCTGAAACACACAGCAGGTGAGCCTTTTAAGGGCCATATAATACGATTGTACTCAGTCCCACAAACACGGTGTGCGAGTTCATTTAGTCCGGGCAATGGCGTGATGTTTGATTGACCATTACTTGGAAGACGTTACCATGAATAATATTTGCCGCTTAGCTCATCACGACGGTGTCAAAATGCCTTACGTAATCCAATCCACGAAAATTCTATCTGCTTTAAGCTACTGATTGTGCGGATTTGTTTTGCGTTGTGTGTTTCTTTTTTGCCAAGAAACCACAATGGCAAAACGCGTGTACAAACTCTCGACTATCAGTCAAACTGCTTCAAGTGATGTCCTACATAATATCCACATCACGTAATCCCATCTATATTTTCTCCCACCCAGCACTGATCAAATGCATCCATGGTCTCACGTCTCGAACCCATGTATCAAACCCACGTCTCAGACCCACGTCTCAACCCACGTCTCAGACCCACGTCTTGAACGCACCGTAATTTTTGCCCGGTTCGTAGTTTACGACCCGACACAATTAACACGTGCCCGGACGGCTGGTTGAATACCCACCGCTCGGGTGGGGGTCGGTTTGACCCCGCTGATATTTCAGGATTTAAGAGAGCTAGAGATACCAAACTTACAGGACGTCTTAAACTGTAGGTGAACTCACTTAGATGAAAGTTTAAACATCCTAGGTTATGAGATTCAGATGCAACAAGGTCAAACAAGTTCAAATGTCAGGTTGGTCTCAAAAGTACCTCCAGAACCTAGATAACTGTCAATATCATACGGCGGCAGCTCCAGATGGGCGCTGGGGAACTCCTGTGGTACATTCAAATTATGAGTTTTGTGAAAGTGCAGTATAAACACCCCAATCCACTCACAAGCAAGGGACGTTGTTCTGCTGAAAACGGCCAGGAAGGTTTGAGACAGTTACCATCCCCACTAACTCCTCTGCATCTTCTGCAGTCTTGATGAGTCCCGTTTGAGAATTACACGTTGGTCTGACGCGCTGGGACGATAAATTGCTTGTTCACACGTAGACACCGTAGCAGCTCCCTTTCTGCTTCGGCCGCCTTCCGATACCACCAGAGTTTGACCATCTTCGTGTACAAGCTGATCCAGGTGATCGCTTTGCCGCATCATATTCAGAGACCCTAACAAAGGCGAGCCCTCCAGCTGAGTTCACACCATACGATACTGTCTGTCTCAGACCCGCACCACCCTATGTCATCAAGCAAGACATAAAAACACGTGTTGCAACAGGGTTCAACCGGAGCAGTCACGTGCCTCCTTTGATCGCTGCTCTGAACCCCACGTGCTCCTGCCTGGCTACATGCTGAGTTGGCATCCGACGTGCTCGTGCATTAATAATGGGCGCCGGATCGGCCGAGCGAGTGCGCCCGAGCCGACGTTAAGACGGTCCGGGTGTAACCGCCGTGTGTGTCCGGTCCGAATGCGGCGCGGCGACATAGGAAGAGGAGGGATGAAGGTCTTACGGAAGGATTAGCGTGGCGTTCTGACCGGTCGGCCTGGTCGGACGTGCCTGGCGTGACACGACCACCGGGACGGTAATGAGAGGCGACCAGTGCCCGCCGGTTCCGTTCTCAGCACGACCGCCCGCTACCTTCCGGGTGGCCCGTGACATAGCTGCAAGACTCGCGGCTCAGCTATGCTGACGCGGAGGTGTCCGGCTGCCGACCCAGAGCTGACGCGGTGGTGTCTGGCTGCCGACCCAGAGCTGACGCGGTGGTGTCCGGCTGCCGACCCAGAGCTGACGCGGTGGTGTCCGGCTGCCGACCCAGAGCTGACGCGGTGGTGTCCGACTGCCGACCCAGAGCTGACGCGGTGGTGTCCGGCTGCCGACCCAGAGCTGACGCGGTGGTGTCCGGCTGCCGACCCTGACATGTCCAAAGATTCCGAAATTTACCGGACGAAATCCCAGATGTGGATTCATCAGGGTCTGTAGTCATAGCTCTTAAGTTTGCTGAAAAATCTCCTTGACTTGCGAATATTTTTGAAATGTTGGCGAACGATCTTTCGGGACTCTGGATCTGTTTTGGAGTTTTGTCAAAGAACCGCTCCATGTCTTGAAATTCGTATATTTTGCCAAAAGGCCAGATGGGGTGCAAGACCTTTTAAAACATGTTGTCAAAAGGCTTTTCACATTATAGATATTCCGTTAAATGTTGCCAAATAATCTTCCAAGACTTTTCGCGCGGCTATGGATTTTTTTAGATGAGCAAACCAGTCAACTAATGTTTGGCAACCAATGTTTGACGAAGCTCGGTGCCCGTCCGCTGGGGCGGGCCCGGGTGGCCAATGAGCGCAGCGGTCGCTGACGGGTATAGTCGCCGCACTGTGAGGTGTCAGCAGGTATACGCCCGTATCCCAGACAAAAAGATCCAAGATTGAGCAGATGTTTCGACAAAGTTACAAAAAATCCATGATCTTGCAAGATTCTCCGACAAAATTTCAAAAACATCTCAGATCTCCGATGATGTTCCGACAATATTTCAAAAAATCTAGATCTAGAAAATCTTCATTAGAATTCAAATATATCCAAGATCCCAGAAGTTTCTGCGACAAGAATCACCAAAACCAGGTCCTGGGTTACGGGTGATCCTTAGCCAAAATTTGAAGACAGATCCAGGACCCCAAAATATTACAAGTTCCTAGATCTCGGAAGATCCTTTTGACATGCATGCCACTGCAATTTTGGACAAATTATCATATCCTGACACAACCCTTGGCCTAATTTACATAACATCATGGGCAGAGAATGTAGTGTGACAGATGCTTCAGTGGTTACGCCAACCTTCCGATCCAAAGCAACCGTTGGAATGTGCTAGAAAACAGTTTGTAAAAATGTATGCACTTACATCGTGTCACCATAAACTGTCGCTGGTGTGGTCAACAAGCCAAGCCAACTTTACTCTGCATTATAACAGCAAATAATTTCTGAGTAAACCTGCAACTGGCGGTTTAAAAACTGGAAAAGCTAAAAAAAAAAACTGTTAGTGTCTGGGGATATGAAACGATTCTCTATGGTACAGACTCATGTCATAAACTGCACTCGAACATGTTTTTGGCGAATAACACAGCAGCACAGGTAAAGATTTGGTTTGATCCAATGATGGTGCACGGCCATCGCCAGCGCAAATCTTGCACTTCCTTAAACGGTATGAATCAACAATCTTGTACAGTACCTATACACAACTGAAATCCACATATACACAAGGTATTTTTGAATGCTTCTAGCACCTTCATTTAGCTCGGCATATCGGCAGAGTAACAGCAGCGGTGTTAAACCCGTAGTCAGAGGTTAAACGCAGGTAATGGCTTGCAGCTGAATGAGATTTGTACTGTCTGTATAAACAGTTTAAGTCATAGAGCGCAAAAGATATTCTTCGAATGTGAACTGGATAGCGGCTCAAATCGAATACTTCGTGTTGACACGGGCCCAAGGTGTGCAATCCAGTAGACATAAACTATCCCATTTAAATTGGAAAACTGAAACAGCGTCTGAGTACTTGGAGGGATGGAATCATCAGCTCCTACGGAAATTTGAGCCCCTTTCGCAGCTGGTACACATAATGTCTATCTTTGAAAAACCGAGGAGACCCCAGCTCTAATCTTTCACCTCATGTGTAACAAAAAAAGAATAGATTCGCAGGGTAACAGTGAAGAATAACTAGACTGAAGGGGGATTGCGGTTAGTATCGCCGTTTGGTTCTGGACGCGTAGCTTTAGCAGCGCCCGGGGACCGGCTAGGTACCCTTCGCTCGGGTGGGGCTTAATTTGACCCCACTGAGATCTCGAGAACTAATAGAGCTAAATACAGCAAATTCACAGGGTGTCTTAACCTGTACGTGGACTCTCTTAGATCAAAGTTTGAGCTTCTTAGGTCATAACCTTTAGGTCAAATTAGGTCAAACAAGGTGAAATTTCAGGCTGGTCTTCAAAGTGTCCCAGAACCTAGGCAACTGCCTTTTAGGCAAAAGGTAACAAACCATTTGAGGTCAGTGACCTTTTTTGACCTTTTGAAGGTCATGGTGACCAAAATCATACAAGACTTCTCCGAGTTTTGCATTTGACTAAGCGACAAAAATTACAATAGCTAGTTTTGTTCCAAAAACAAAATGCCGACCCGAATCATCTTAGATCAATAACCTGTTCTGACCCTCTGACTAGAAGATGTATAACGCGATTCCCGCTGTCAATAAATTCGAAATGAGCACCAGAAAACATCCTATGCAGCAAGCCATAGAGTTACAAATAAGGCTAGTTTTGACCTTGGTCTGACCTCCATACCTGACTTTAGGTCAACGTTATTTGCTCATTCAATATTTGTGTTGCCTAAGAAAGCATCTCAGAGATGTATGGCTTCGTCAAACACTCCGTTGTTGTATCAGACTGAACGATTCCCTAAAAATTGCCTCGCTGAAATCATGGCCTGACTTTGACCTGCCCTAGGTCAACGACCTAACAAGGTGCATCAAAATGTTTTATGTCAGACGATCCCTTTTCAATTCTCTAAAGCTACACAAAATTTGGCGCGGCTACGCAGCGCCGTTCGGAAAGCATTCTGGAAAATCCTTTTCGTGGGTCAATTTGACCCCCACCCGAACGCGTGTTAAAACTCTTGGGTCAACAAGTTTTAAGTTCCGAGTATGCCAGTGGCCGGAAGGGATGATTGCAAAACTTGGAATAAAAAAAACTGGAGGTGGTTGTTTTAATGCCCAAACGAATGCTGATCAGACGGAAAATTACCAGAACGAAAAATATGTGTGATGTTGGTGAAGGTGGCTCATGACGACTTATGACCTACTATGCGAATATCAGCACGGACATGTCCTATGGGGTGTGTGTGGGGGGGGGGGGGGTATACGAGCACGCAGTCCGCTTATAAGATTCTTTCGCGTCACAAACCTAGACTGGCTGGGCATTCGGAAGCCTTCACAACAGTGTAAGCGTACACAGGGTTACGCGGAGGCATGCAAAATTTGCTAGACGTCA